TTTTAGGCAAGTCCAGGGAAATTGGGTTGCATGTTTGAACCACTAGCACGCGGCCTACTTTTGTCATATATGTTGATTATTGCAGCTTGCTCGTTAAGTTAAATGTTAAAGGTGATTGAAGTCGACGTTTGGACCTTAGGTACCACTTGTAGCTCGTCGAAGACGAGCAAACCGTTTCGGATCCGAATTTGAGCGGCCTCTGGTATGTGTTACACGTCACACTTTTCGTCATGACCTCACCTGCTTGTGACGCGCATCCGACGTGTATATGAAACGCCGGTGTGAACAGAAAATCATTGCGAAGCACACGGCCGGAATTCCGTTTCGTCTCATTTTGCTCCCATTCCGATACCATGCATAGTTACTATGTGATTAGACATTGCTGCGAAACTCCTCTTCATGCCCCAATGGCGCGGGCCGACTGATTCAGGCTCGGGTTAACATTACATGTGCTCATCGCCAATGACATGCGGTGATCTTGATCGGTTTAACTGAACTAGATTTACAAGTCCATCGGACATTTCATTCGTGACTACGTTCACACAGCATGCACAGACCCACCATATGCAGAATGTGTGCGTATGCTACGATGGTCGTGTGATAATCGTGCATGGATGATCATGCACAGTACATCATCAACGTGCCGACTTCCAATCAATGACAAGGAGCTACCATGCTCTAGGCGTAATCTCTTCCTATCAGAAACGCATTTAATACAAAACATAAGAAACAAACAACAGCAAAACCATAACCGGTCAGCCTAAATATAAACCAAACACCCAGCTGAATGTTAAAGGTCGAAAACTTCGTCTTCCAGTACCGGGTTGTGCGATGTGCTTGACAAGTTAATCGTCATTCTGCATCTTAATCCACGCTAGTCAAGTGAATGAGGAAGCTCAATGCTCGCAAAGATGTTCCAAACAGGACATTATCCCTCCTCGAGATACATTTCCCAGGAACTGGAGGAAAAATCGTCATGAGAAAGCTCCTTTTCATTCGGCATACGGGCCGAGACAGTGTGAGTGTTAGCTCGTTGCTTACCCATGTTTGTTTTACATTATACATATACATATACATATGCATAACATTATACACAGGCATTGTCAGATGCCAGAATGTTTAGCCAGAGTGTATTTTATGCGGTTCTACCGTGACGCGTTTCGCAAACATGAAAGCACGTTGACTGAAATAAGATCAGTTTATTACGACATTCAGTTTTCGAGTTATCGATGAATACGGTCGGTGAAACTAGGAATTACCATCAGTCCATATGGCGCGAATTTGCATTGTGTACGGAGTTTGACTGAGCGGTTATGAACAGTTCTAATGTCACAAACCGCAACTTATGAAGAGGTCTCGAGACATGTGCCGTAGCTCCTTGGCAACGCAATGTCGACAAGCGTGTGCGTCCGTTTGAATGTCTTTTTCTACGTACAGCGTTATGAAACTAGCCAGGGGCGGGCGTCTCGCACCCCCATTACACGGTTTGCGTGTGGGCGGTTGAGATGCTGATATGTCACGCGGTACATGACACTTTTTAGACAACCGCACGCTAGTTAACTTAAAACGGACCGTTTCAGCAAGCAATGCAGTTCGTGATTGTATCACTGTCGCAGCCGACAGAGTCCTCACACGGTTTCTCGCCTCATATGTTGGGTTCAGTCTAAGCCCCCGTAGCATCGACGCGAGGCAGCCTTTTGACACACGGACAACATCCACAATCTCTGCAGCGTAAGCTGTTTCGCAGCCGCTTACATTTACAGCTGGTGCGACAGGAGCGCCCTTAGCGGCAAACATGACGCGTCTACCAACATTGTAAGCAGCTGACACACGCTGCACTTTTAATGACGGACAGCTTAGAGCGGCAGTCAGGGGCGCCTCGCACCACGCAACTTGTCGATATGTCATTGACCTGAACCTGCTCGGAATGTATTACGCAAGAGCCAAACAGATATAACTGACACACGCAGATCGCTCTTGATCAGTACAAATTGAAGGACCGACGATGAACGTCAGCAGCACTGTTGTCTTCACTTGCGCCTCTGTTTACGACGCAACATTCCGGAAAAACATGTAATGTTACCAGTCGGCAAATGTCACTACATCGCCGCCACAACGCCACCGTACTGGCAGCCGGCGCGGTCCGGGCCGAAGCTGCTCGGCCCTCGGTCCAGCGGCGCCGCGCTCCAGCCCCTGGATGTGAGCATTGTTTACCCAGATCCGTACTGAATTGAAGGATCGGCAGGCAACGAGCCAACGACTGTTGATCTTCCCTGGGATGGGAGTGACGTTGCACTCGTAAGACACGGAAAGATCGATTCACACACGCGGCTAGCTCGACACGCGCCCGGATGGCCGGTTTGATAGCCCTGGCTCGAGTGGGGGGTCAATTTGTTCCACAGAGATCACAATGACTAAGAGAGCTAGAGACAACAAATTCACAGAGCGGGGGGGGTCTACATGTGAGCTCACTTCTGTAAAAAATCAGGTTCCTAGGTCTTGACCTTTGAATCAAGTAGAGTCAAACAAGGTCAAACTCCGGATTGGTGTCTCAAGTGCCCCCGGGCCTCCTCGTGCATCCACCTTGAACCGACATACCTGCTATAAGAAAGAGGTCCCTGGTGTCCATTTAAGATCAGGGACGGTTTCACCTTAAGGAGGTCATGCTTACCAAAATCCCAACAAAATTGTTTTGACTTTTGCGCTTGAATGTGCATTAAGGCTTACGCTCAGCGGCATGCCTCTAAAACAAGCTATTGACCTGGGTCAATTCAGGTCAGTGTCCTACTCTGACTTTTGAGAAGTCTCTGGAGTAGGTCTGTTGCGATCCCTGTTTATTGTCTACTTAACTATCTCAGAGATATATGGGTTCATTAGACACAGTTGTCGCATCAGATTGAGCGACCTTCCTGAAACTGCCTTCGCTGACAGTCTCGGTGTGACTATGAGCTGCCATAGGTCAGCGATTTTACAAGGTACATCTAATTTTTACACCCAAAGACCGCCACTCAACTGCCTATAGTCATACAAAGTCTGGCGAGGTCGCATCGTGCCATTCGGAAATCATTATGCAAAAACTTTCTGGGAAGGGGGGGGGGGGTAAATTGTTTCCCACATCCCACCCGGGTGCGTGTTGAAGAGGCTGTAGTCAAAGTTTCAGCATAAAATAAAACAACTGCCAGTGTCGTGGGTCCACGGTGGGGGCGTCATTGTTTTTTTCGGAGGGGGACAAGTTCCAGGGGGGACCACAATGAAGCATAGCCCCTTCCTTGACGGAATCCTGTACCCACCCATGCGTACATATCCTCTCGGATACCCGCTAACCCTGTTACTAAATTACTGGCGTTGGGTGCTTAAGGTCATTACCCATGGTAACTCAACGCACTGTTTCTCACGAAAAGTTCCCTGTTTTTTGTTTATCTGTTTGTTTTTTTTAGCTTAAACCGGTTGCTTGCACGAGGATATTTGCACACATTGACACTGTGTTCAGTCCATCGTGGAGTGAATGTGTGGAGGAGTGTGATGTTAGTGATGGGAATCAAGTGACAAAAGCGGCCTCGTTGTCATTACTGACCTCGGCATGGCGCCTGCTTTTGGCGCAGAATACTAATCAAGTGGCAGAGCACATGTTGTTGGCCAAAAAGCAGCCGTCCCTCCCCTCAGTTGCAGCATATTACAACGTTTGTTTCCGTGCCGTTCGTGAACAAAGGCAACTCCAGTTGTTATCACCACCGCCGCCTGTTGCGTGCATCGTGATTACTTTCACCGTGAGCTTTGTGCTGACGAGCATTCCTGTAGCGTAGAGTTACAGAGGTTATTACAGACTTGTTTGCAGCGGACCTAACATAACATAAGATGCCGCGAAAGTTCAAGGATGCTCATCGAACTATGCATTTTAAGTTCCCTCCGATTTCCGTTTAGCACTTTGATTTCCCTATTACATGAAATCAAATGCCAAGCGTCTCACCAAGCGAAGGACCAATTATCATTCGTGCCGACCGGGACGGTGGTGCGTTCAGGCTTCAGCGACACTGAAGTCAACGCATACGGCGCGCAAGCGAGCTATGTCAGCAAGCAAACAGTGTGTCTTTGCATCGTGTAGTATCTCCGGTCATGGTATGGTTAGTGTGTCCACATACACATGTCCTGTAACTCGGAGCAGACAGTGAGGCAGGTGGGCCACCACCTGGGCACCATTTGGTGTGCTTTCAGTCCGGTGACTGGCAGGCAAAACAGTACACCTGAGCACGTCCGGTGAGGCCCCAATCAAAGGCTGAACAGCTGAACGGATGCGCATAGACCTACTCGTTCACAAGCTGCGAGAGGTCCTCAGAAAGACACACGTTTCCCTAAGCCCTGGTGCCAAACAATCCCGCTGATGGGATGCTGGCCGGTGTAGCACGGCACTGTCACATCGCTTCCCAATCATCCTAATGAACAGATATGTCTAATGGATGGATATGCCTAGTGAATAGATATGCCGAATGGGCTGGCAAATAAAATACTGAAGCTATATTGGCGGTGCTCATTTCCCTCGCTTAATCGTGCCTCGCGTTAAACGTGAGCTGTCAGCGAAGATGACCTTACTGAAACGTACATGTTGTTCGAATTCAGGAGATTTATGCACATCGGGATCAGGCAGCGAAGAATCGTGCAGGAATTGATTTTCACCCAACTGAAACATACTCGCAGGCTCTATGCGATGGTTATGATCGTTCATCATCGCACCAAAGCTGGTCACTTCCAGTCATGCGCTGCCGTTAGTACCTTCACACCCTGGGGATGCTTCCGTTCACTTTAATGCAAGCCATGGGGCGAGTTCAAACACGGCACGCCAAACCGATCGCCAGGCCAGTCCAAACCAAACACGTACGCTACCCGACCAGGCCGCCAGTCAGTCGTTCTAAGAGCGCTGCGCCAAAACCACCAGCCTGCGAAGCAAACCGGCCGGCAAGAGCTGTCTAGCGTAACGGAAGCGCGGGAGCGACCTAGCGACTCACGCCATGCAGTGAGGGGCGTGCCGTGCAGTCCGTGGCGCGGGGGCTGGTCGCCAGCAACGTCGGCCCCGGCCGCTTGCGTACCGCGTTCTGGCGGCTGAGTGACATCGAGCGACGCTTCTTCAGCCGGATGTAGGTGAACAGCAGCAGGTTGAACAGGCCGCCCAGGTTGGTGAAGGTCGTCACCGCCATGAACAGGCTGAAGGGAGGCGAGCCGCCCCGTATGGTACAGGCGCCGTAGATGATCATGGGCAGCCACTGAACGAAGAAGGAGACGATGAAGTAGGTACACGTCCAGGCGGTCTTGTTCACCGAGCGGCCGAGCTGCGTACGACTGCCCAGCTGCTTGCGGTTGTCACGGTCCGCGATGTGCAGCTTCACCACCGTCACCGTGTAGAACATAAGGTTGAAGACGCCCACGCCGATGAGGAACAGCGTGGTGAAGGTCATGAGGAAGAGCGGCGCCTTGACTGGGTCCAGGTAGCAGAAGGCGCCGCTGGGGCCTAGTTTGTCCAGTGCCCACGTCACGCCGCTGAAGAGCACGCCCGGACCCAGACTGACGGCGAGGGGGCGCCAGTCGTGTCTGCCGAAGTTCGGGGGACGGAGCCGAAACACCATCAAGCACGCCTCCAGCGCCAGGAAGCATACGAACACGTTCTGCGCGATCACGAACACGGACAGCATGAAGCCGAAGAAGGCGCACAGCTGGCGCGGTCGCACGTGGCCCCGCTGCGCCAGGTACATGCCGTGGTCCATCATGTGCATCAGATTGAAGAGCCCATCGAAGACGGCCATGTAGACGAGCACGCGGTCGCCGGTCGTCCAGCTGTAGAACGTCGACGGCTTCCACTGGTTGGCGCCAACAGTGAGCAGCACGGTGCCGGCGGCACTCAGCAGGCTGGCCAACAGGCACGCGATGGCCGTGCAGTGGACCACCTCGAAGTTGCCGTCTCTCAGCCCCTGCACGGGCAGGTCGTAGCCGGAGGTGATGTTCGCCAGGGAATCCTCATCCCTAGAGGAGGCTAGGCAGCACAGCGGCTCTGGCCCGCAGGTGCTCATCGGATCTGACGCGAGAACGGGGACGCTGCTAGCGGCGCCGACACGGATCAAGGGTCATCCACCTCCGTCACACAAAATGAGCACGCCGCTTCAAGCCAGCCGGTTCCGTGATGTCTCTGGAACACATGTCCACCGGAGTTGCAGTGTTCTTAACCACTCCTGCCACGAGGTCCTCCAGGCATCGCCGCGTCACAAATGCCACCACCACACGCTGTGCGCGAATGCCCTACTCACAGCCCATTGCACGGTTAGCAGGTCACCTCACCACGCGCCACTCAGATCTCGCCGCGGGGGGTCTGAGCGGTCAAGCTGCTCCCGCGCCGCGTGCGAGCCCGACTGACCATCCCGGGGGTCAAGGGTCAAGCCGCCGGACGGAGCGTCGCGCGCCGCGGGCGATCCTGACCGCCGCCGCCACCGACTGCGGGCGGCCCCAGGCTGCAGCCGTCGCGGTGCGTCTGCGCGCACGGGGGCGCCAAGCCAAAGCCGCACGTGCGGAGCGGCTCCACGCGGCTGTCTGGTTTGCCGGCCTAGCGGCAGGCGCGCGGTTTGACCCGGCGCTGCCAACTCAAACAGGCGCCGTGCCGGACGCGGATGCACAAACGGGCTCGCGACCGGGCGGTAAGATGAAGGGGGCGCCGCCCACCCGCAGGGTCGCGTAGCGGTGGCGCGGCGATAAGACGATTGTGGCGCGTGCATCACGCCACGGGGGTGCTCAGACGCCAGCAGTAGCCAGTGTGCACGTGATCAGATGCCGGAGCTATCTGGCGCTGTCCTATGCACGAGTGTCGGGCCCTTTTGCAACCACGCAGTGGCTCTCAAACTTGGCGGCAGCAGGCCATGCAAGCAAGGGTGAAATAGAAGCCATTCTCACGAGGGATCACGGTGCGAAACTTTTCAAGGCTTCTTAAAGGGAGTGTCCCACTTTTGGAGCATATGTGAAAAGCATGATCTGGCAAACTCTATGGCTTTGTCATTAATATGCTAGGGAATGGTATGCTGTCATCATTACACTGGGGAACGAAACTGCACCGTCAACAGAATATAATCCACAAATTGGTTTTTCGTGTCCAGGTTACGCGGTCATCATTTCAGACCAGCTCTGAGCTGCATTTCCAAGGCCTTGAACCATTCTAGCGCGCACGAGACGGTGTTCACCATTGTGAAGTTCATGTTCTTTTAGATGGGTGTTGGATTTCGCACACTGTGTGTAAATTGCGTGTGAAAGCTTGGGAGATGTTAATTCAACCCTATCCAGCATGCGATGATACGTTTTCCAAAATGTTGCATAATCATTATGGCAGAATGACTTTGTAGCTCGCATCGGCTCGCCTGTTCAAATACAAGCAATCAGAAGCTGTGATTCTTTAATAACATACGCCATTGATGGCAGGTTAACAGTGGAGAAACACGGTTTGTTTTGTGCCCGTCATGTGTTATAGGTACCAATCAAATTCCAATGCCTACCTCTAAGCCGTGTTTTTGTAAAATTCCTTAAGTCAAAAACCGGAGAGGTTTGGCTGACGTGAGGCAGAGCTGACATTGTAAATCGTGAGAAAAAGACTTCAGACATCAATATGTTATCTGTCAGCACAGGAAACTTAAAAATGGGCTGCTGGATTGAGCTCTGTTCAGTTTTGCTCTGCTGTTCAGATACAATGCGATGCTCGCTGCCTTGTTTAATGTCTTATGTACATTTGCTTACATTTTTAATTGACCGCAAATCACAACACCTTGATGTTTTTATAATGAGTTATCATACCTCGCGCTTGCGACAAAAACCTCCTCAAAAAGCGTTAAAGAATAGTTTAAAAAACATCGCAGGAAAGGTCGTCCATGGTAGTGGGCAAATGATGACAGAAATACTTCAACCCAGCATTTTCCAGCGACCGACTTTGGTGTGGTATGTTTCAGGTTTACATGAGTCTGGTGAAGCTGCCTAAAATATTATTGGATTAGCATACGTCTTACTTAGCAATCTGCTGTAATCTTTCTCTCGATCTCCATTTATACGTAGCTTAGCGATTACTGAAATGGGATAGGAACATTTCCTCAGCAAAGTTTTGTGACCTGCCAGGATGTTGAATACTCAAACAGGTGTTCGAAACAGGTGTTTGGCACCTATGACTGTCTCACTATTTTTGTTATGCGAAAGTACCAACATTTTCCTGGATCTAGATAGCATAATCACACGATAGAATGCAACTTTGCACGCGCGTTTGTTAGCCATTTTCGGTGCCGTTTGTGCCTAATCACTCGACCCCTGGGCTGCGACAGGTCATCGGACAGGCGACGCCGGCGCCATGACATCTTGCCTCTGCGAGCCAGCGCAGCAGGCGTCACAGCTGCGTCTCCCCCCCCCCCCCCCCCCGCCTCCCTCGCCTGCCCGTGGTCTGAGGGGTGACTTGCAACCCGGCCATTTTCAGTATCATGGTGACGCGGATGGTTTAGATGTTACGATTTCTCTCGCCAGCAGAATCAAGCTAACGTTCCTGGCGAGGCGGTGGGTAATAAAACGCGACTGAATTCGTTTGGCGGCCTTGTTGCTTAGGTAGTGTGAATGATTTGGCACCATGTAGTCTCTCTCCGACGACTATTCGCAGACCCTGCGAGAACCGACCGCATCGAGCCTGCGATATTTTGTTCATCGTCCCCGGCATGCCGGCCCAACGCCTTGGAAATCGAGCATCAGCCCCAGGAGGGCAAGCGGTGTGAGAGCCACTTCAGCGCACGTTGTTGGTTATTGAAACCAGAGCGCATGCGCGATGACCTGGTGCCGCCGTGGTGGTGTGCGTCGGGTCACAACAACGGGGCCAGCACGTTACCGATGGACGGTATCGCAGGCGCAGTGCGGGCGTCCTCGAAATTCAGTAACACTGTTCTGCTCGTTGGGCCCGTTCTAGTCCAGTGGCATGGATGTTTGCTGATTGTCTGTCAGCTTTCAACCGATGTCTAAAGCGCTATTTAGAAGAGTTTGACAGCATGTGCTGCATGGATTGCTCTGGGATCAGTCTGTGCAAATCATAGCTTTCTGGGAAGATGCTGGTTTCATCAAACGGTTAATGCAATTCTAACTCAACCCAGAAATGTCAACAAGTTTTGAAGCGTCATGTAACGTCATGGCTGACGACCTGCTTCAGCACCATTGTCTCGGCTATTCCCCAAGTTACCCATGGAAGGCCGTCTCTTGAGCTCTATTATCTCGGCTATTCCCCAAGTTACCCATGGAAGGCCGTCTCTTCAGCCCTATTATCTCGGCCATTCCCCAAGTTACCCATGGAAGGCCGTCTCTTCAGCCCTATTATCTCGGCTATTCCCCAAGTTACCCACAGAAGGCCGTCTCTTCAGCCCCATTATCTCGGCTATTCCCCAAGTTACCCCCAGAAGGCCAACCTCACTGGCGTGGTTTCAGAGAAACGATCCCATCATGCCCGCCACTCATGGGCCAGTGTCCTTCGCCTCGCCAACTCGGCATAAAACACTTGGTATTGGCCGGCACTAGCACTTAAAACGCTTGGCTGCCCGCCATAAAACGCCTCGCAAGCATAAGCTGATCTTAAAATCTCAGCGTCTGATATTGTCAGCATTTTCTGAGTCACTTCTCCTTTGCAATCCAGCACGTGCTGATGGCCGCTATGAGGATCTACAATAGCGATATTTGTCATGGAAGGCGCCATGGGATGCTACGCATGACGGACAGCGCAATCGGCCAAGCCATGATAAATGTGTGCAAAGTTTAAGCCGATTTCCAGGTCGGCCTGCGCAGCTGTTTTTGAGGTAGAACATTCTCTATGAATGCTGGTGAACTGAGAGCACACGCCGAGAATCAAACTTGTCTTCGTCACCATGCCATAATAACGCGCTGACATCCACAACACTTCCTGTTGTGCCTCTTGCAGCTGTCAGCAAGTAAAGCCAACGCTCGAATCCTCGGAAAGAATGTCAATCAGCTCCATTCGGACATCGATCGTGATGGTTAGGCAAGTCAATGCCCATCAAAACCCTCCCAGCTTTTCAAGGCGCTGCTGTTGGCAATGCTCTGGTTGCGAGCCGCGCAGTGTGAAGCATCTGCTCATAAATCGATTTGTGAGATTGCGGTGGTGCGCTGGAAGGACGACCTGCGGATCGTTGCCCCACACCCTGCAGGTTGTGGGCATCCAGGGCCTGTTTCATCACGGCAATACGTCCACCGATTGTGACAATTTGTTCGCTTTTGTTTTCGCAATGGCACATTCTGTTCCACCAGCTGTCGCATGTGCATAGTTACGCCGAGCAAACCGTAGCAGTTTGAAGTGGCATAATATCCATCTTTTGAAATACCATGTCACACTAGTCGGCTGATGGCCGGGCTTGCCGTGGTACAGAGTACGTCACTTTTTCTGGGAATTTACCGGCCACTCTCACTGCACAAGTTGGGGTTCCTGGTGTAGTCAGGGGTACTGTTTGTTCTGGAGAACTGTTCATCTCAACTTAAATGTTTGTAGTTTGGACAATGCATGGCGAGGTTACGGAGCATAATTAACCTGATACGGGCGAACAGTTCGGTCATGGAAGGCCCAGGTTGTTTCGCTCTCGGACGAACGACTGAAGCGATTGATCGCCGAAGAAACTAGGATAATGAGGCAAAAGGCGCTGCGGAGTTATTCTTGACATTTATTACGTAACTTTCGCCCTTAACGCGGTCCCTATTTTGTGCATCCACAAACATACGGGCGTGCACGCCAACATGATTCAAGTGGCAATGCTGAGGCTGGCAAAATCCCTGGACACAGGTCATTAGTATATCCCTGCAAATTGATGCATGGCCTTCTATCATGCTACGTCGATCTGCATATATTCATCTTTGAAAGGAATCCCGCGCTGAACGGGTGGTAATCACTGTAATCCGTCTAAATATATCCACGCGGCATCTTTCCGCGGAGACCTGTGCCGCAATGTTTCACGCACCACATGTTTCGCCTCCTCACAACCGAAAGGGAACACTTGTGCCAGCACACGGCCATACAGGGGCTGGAGTTGGCGTGCCCCGGCGCTTTACCGAGGTGTGTTGCGCACGGCGACCGCGCGCAGGCGCCTGTCGGCTCCAATGTTTCGTGCAAGGCGGACGTGGTCGGTGAGAACGAAGCTCAGTTTGACAAATGATGCATGCCTTGATTTTGGACAGGAATCACATTTTGGTTAAGAAGGCTGCGACTGGAAGCTTGAGACTGGTTTGCACGCGTTATGCTTCCCCGCGTACGGCTTCGTTATGAGTCTTTGCGACGTCCCGTCTCAACGGAAGCATGCTGCTGCCGTGAGTCAGTTCGGCCGCCCTGGCCGAGTCGCCACGGAGCAACGGCCCACGCCCGGATGTCA